ATGTTATCATCGCTCCTTATCGCCTCCACTGTGACACACCAGACCATTTGGTGGTGTCTTTTACACACCGGGCCATGGCTTGGTCTACCATAAAACCGTACGTAGTTCATCAACGGGCCAGCCTCCGCTTCACCGTTGGTTGGGTTTTGTTGTAGTACTACCATCGTACGGCTCTGCTCTATAATGATCCAGGCTGTATGTCAGACGTGGTGTGGCCGCCATACGTCTTACTTTATTTCGACTTGTGATCTTATAAGAGCCGGACTTTGGTTGAACATAAGTCCTACATGATCCAAACTTAAAAAGAACATGATTCATACTTTCATTGAACATGATTGAGGCATCTGTTGAACAATATCCTGTTTTTGCTAGAATATGAGCTAAGCTTTGGTAAATCAAGAGCTAGGCTTTGGTTGAACGTGTTACAAGCTTTGGGTCAGCATTGGCATGGGTTCAACAATAGTTTCGAGTATCATCTCTAAAAAAAATCCACTTTCTTCTACGGCATTGTGATGTGTTTTCCTCCTCAGATATCTGGCTTGCATGTGTCATCACTTATTTCTAGGAAGGGCGACTATATTCATTACAGCCGCTGAATTAACCGTGTTTATATTCCTTCCTACGCTTGCTTAGAATATTGACATTGTTAAAGTTACTTTGGTTAGGTAATTTAACCTTACCAACCTACCCCAACGGAGGAAGGTTTACAGCCAATCACAGCGCGTGTAATAAACTCGTCCTTCCTGGTAAAAATAATGACCAATCTTACACACCCTTACAAATAACAAACTAAGTCAAATTCATAACTTTAATTTGTTTTCAGCTTTCAAAAATCGTGTCCCAAAAGGTTCTATACACAACAAAACTTGATATTCCTTGAAATGTAAAGTAAATTCATAAGAATTTATCTACGATTTACAGGATAAAATATTGTGTGGTTAGGCGGGCTGGGTGCTGGATGAAGCAGTGGCGGGACCTTCACAAAAATAAATGAATCAATACTACCAGCTGAATGGACGTTCGTAGTCAGGTATGAATGAGTGACGAGTGACATGAATCAGCAGGTGATGCAGGTCGGTGTAGGTGTGGCAGTAGAGTGGCTTAATATGTGTGTGTGTGTGTGTGTGTGTGTGTGTGTGTGTGGAGGTGCAAGTGTGTACATAATGAGCGTGGTCTTAAGAGGGTCAGATAAGGACACTGTATAGTACATGGTATAGGGTTAAGGGTACAGTACCTATACCTGGCAACTCATTACCACCTGCCCTCCTTCCCCCATCATCATCACCTCTACACCTGTGTTACCTAACCTGGCCTATACCTCTGGCCTCATACTGGTACTCTGGCCTCATACTGGTATATATATTTCGTGAGGGAGGAGGAGACACAGATATATGGAAATAATGTACAAAGTGGCCCTAATATGTCTCACCTTGTAAACACAGTATGGGTCTGGGTTATGTAGACATAAACCATTAATGAAAGCGGACGATACACCACTCAAGCCTAACATAATGAAGAGTTCAATATGTCCCACTGAATGTAGATTATATCAACAAACATATTCGTAAAAGTTCCGCTAAAAATATTCATAGATCAGGTGGCGACCGTGTCCTTTACCTGGAGGGAGTCTGTCTTCGTCTTTAGTAAAATTCTAAATTCGTGTATTTTATGGTACTTAACCAGATGAAGTACATAAATATTACCTACTGAAAGTGAGTCCCGTGTGCCTGACGACAAGTTTATCCACCCAGTACTGTTTATTGTCTCTGAATTCCTATGCCTTACTTTATTTAATCTAGAAGTCAACGTGTCATTTTATCAAACCATGAGAGACATCTATGTGTAAGTCAGCCACTGGCAAACCTTAGTGTGTGTAGTCTGTTGCCATTTATGGGAATAAGTGCAAATTCACCATGCATGATTTCCTCTGTAAAGCCATGTTGTGGCCAGTTGAAACTATGCTGCCACACGTTGAGTGATGGTGTCCTTCAACATTTGCTCAGTTTTGCAGATATGATAGGCTGAGTGGCCTATGCTTTTCTGCTGCTTTCCCGTTATCGTTCTTGACTGGCTTCCAACTTCTAGGCACTATCCCTTGATCCAGGGATTTGCTGATCAATAGTCTTAGTGTAGCGTAGAGTCCATTCGTTACCTTTTAGAACATAAGAACATAAGAATGAAGGAAACTGCAGCGGGCCTGTTGGCCCATACTGGTCAGTCCCATTTACACCCAACCCCTATTGCTCATATAAGCATCCAACCTATGTTTGAAGCTATCCAGAGTATTCGAGTTAATGATGATATTTGGTAACTTGTTCCATTCATCCACTACTCTGTTACCAAACCAGTGTTTACCTATTTCGCGCCTAAATCTAAATTTGTCTAATTTAAAACCATTGTTACGAGTTCGCTCCTGGTTGGATAGTTTGAGTACCTTTGTCATGTCCCCTTTGTTCAGCCCTGACTTCCATTTATACACCTCGCTCTACGTCTCTCGAGGGAGTACAAATTAAGATGCTTTAACCTGTCTCTGTGCTCAAGGTTCCTAATGCCCGGGATTAGTCTTGTCATTCTCCTCTGAATTCTTTCCAAGGATTCTATATCCATTCTGTAATACGATGACCAGAATTGAACTGCGTAATCCAAGTGAGGTCTCACAAGCGCAAGATATAGTTTTAGGTTGACCTCGCCAGTCTTGTAAAAGTACTTGGGTTCATACAAAGGAACGCCAGTCACACAAGAACACAAGAATGGAGGAAACCGCAGCGAGCCCACCGGCCCACACTGGGCAGCCCCGCCCACACCCAACCCCCATCGCTCACACAAGCACCCAACCCATGCCTGAAGCCATCCAGAGCACTCGAGTCAACGATGATACCTGGCAACTTGTTCCACTCATCCACCACTCTGTTTGTAAACACTGGTTTGGAAACAGAGCAGTGGATGAATGGAACAAGCCACCAAACATCATCACCAACCCGAACACGCTGAATAGCCCCAAACACAGGCTGGACGCTCATGCAAGCAACAGGGGCCGGGTGCAAACGGGACCGCCCAGCACGGGCCAACAGGCCCGCTGCAGCCTCCTCCATTCCCACGCCCCCATGAAACCAACACTCCCTTGTATGAACCCAAGTACTTTATTAGCCTTGACATTGTATACCTGTATTGTCTATTGCGGAGGCCACGTTCATATTTAATTACACGCCCAATTTTAGTGTCATCAGCTGGGGACCTGGAGGAGGAGGTCATAGGGCAAGTGAGGATGTGAGATTCGGGTTGACCACAAAGTTTACAAATAGTAGATGAGGTCAGGGCAAACAGGCATGACTGTGTGACCTTGACTTGACCCTTCAGTTGACGCACACGCTTGGATGACCTGAGTTTAAGTTAGGTTAGGTGGAATGATCTCGAGTGGAGAATTTTTAGGTTATTATTATTATTATTCGCTTTACTGTATTGGTGTTTCTGTTGTAGTAATATGTCTTAGAACAAACTAATGATAACGTTCATTCCTGGACACAGTGAAGTAGTTTGACTTTACATAAAAAAAATTAACACAATGTACAGTATTTCTATTTATCTATACTGTTTACACCAGGTGAGTCATAACAGTCGACCGTCATACATGCAGACGCTGTTATTGTTGTATTGTTATATATAGGTATTTTGGCCGCCGTAGTAATTATACTACACCGTTCACGAGTGTATAAAGAGAATAAAAATCTGTTTAACTTAGGCTACGTCAGAGTAAATTGTGGTAGCAAAAGTCACAAATGTGCAACTCTATCATATTGTTGCCAGTATATTTACATTGTTATGCCAAATTCGTATACAATTGACTCGGGTATAAATCATAAGAACATAAGAACATAAGAAAGTGGGATACTGCAGGAGGCCGACTGGCCCATACAGGGCAGATCCCTTTCACACCCATCCCAGCACTTCCATGTGCCTATCCAACTTCGTCTTGAAGCTCCCTAGCGTCCCCGATCCTACTATAGCACTTTAGTATTACTTTGGTTTGTGATTCATCTACGGGACTTAACCGCTGCGTTAAGAAGTTTTTAATTTTTTAATCGCTGCCATGTTTGTTTGTTTTTTTGTGTCTCATATTTCCTCTTAGTGACACCACCATCGTTAAATCTCTGCATTTTCCTCCATATACGCATGGATGAAGTTATTATATTCTATGTGTCATATTTTCTTACAACTTTAAAAGGTATTATATATTTATGTACTATAAACTGCAGGTTAGCCATAATGTTAGTGGTGTCTGGTTATGTCTTTGCTATATAGGTCGAGGATTCTGGCTTGAAAATATTTCACTCCCCTCTCTGCTTTGGTAAGGTTGTATAAACCTTTAATGGCCTTCGGTTTGCAGTTCAGATTTACAACCCCTACTTTGTTGTGTTAAGATATATTCACCGACACTGCTGATGAAGCTTCCATTTGTTTGGGGGTGTGCGATATGGCCCAAGGCCGTGTGGCCACGCCAGCGTATGTTTACAAGCGACCTCACCTTCGGCGTCCTTAAGGCAGCTGGAAGAACCCCGCCAATTAAAATCAAGTAAGAAATCGTGTGCCTATTTGAAACTATTAGAGAGTTTAGGATAACAAGAGAGAAAATATATCTACTTAAGTCCAAAGAAATTATCCAACCTTGTCCGAGTATTGTTTTTTACGCGTTTGTTAAATTTTTCCTTATACAAGAGGTGCTCGTGACATGATTATGGTAATTATTGTATCCTTGGGCTATCTTGGATGTGCAGTCGTGTCTGCCGAGAATATTGTTGTCGCATTCAAAAGAAACACATATTTTATTATTTTCCCATATATTGCAATTTGAGAGTGAATTTGGTCACGCTAAAGCATCTATTCTCAAATAATTCAGTTAATTTACACCTTTAATCAGAGGTGAAAATGAAGGTAAAAATGTTAGTGAATTGACATTCAGGTTAGCGGAACGTTGTGTGTTGGATATAAAAGATGGCGAGTGAGGTAAGGACACCAGACTCCAGTCAGGGCCAGCTACCAGTAGAGGTGTGTCCTGTCCGTTCACTACAAGTAGACAAAGGAAGTCACTTCATTACCTCACACGCCTTAACAACTAGATTACTAGAAGAAAACTTGCCCTCAACAAGGTAAGTACAGTGCATGATTGCATTTAATACAAAGAAATACATTCATAAGCAACTATGTATACAAAACATAAGGATATTTAAGCAGAGATTGACTGAAACACATACTCTGTAACACTAAAATTGGGTACAAGTCAAATTATGTTTTATGAATTAATGAAGAGAATGGAGGTGAAAGAGCTGTGACTGTGGCCTCTATTTTATGTTGGAAGAAGTGATTGTGTTTATATGTGGAAGATCTTTTTGTTTATTTCATTATTGTGTTTGACTATACAGTTATTAATTTTATTTTAAGTAAGAAGAAGCAAAATAGTGCATATTATCGTCACTTCAAATTATTCTGATGAACCATATTCACTGTTATTATTAGGATATATTATTCATTGATTTAGCTTCTACAAGCAGGCATTTGAAATCCAGGAAATATAGAAAAGTATATGTATAATTTACTAAATATTAGCTTCACGTGTATTCTTGCTAGTGTATTGATCAGCTATGTTTGTTTGCAAATGCGTTCGGCATACATGGTGTTGATGGTGGTAGTTCTGACGTGGGTGATGGCAGCTGAGGCGATTTTTCCGTTGGCGGCCATTGCGGCTTTTGTGGGCTCAAGAATTGCATCAATTGCAGTGCCTTTGGTAGGTCTGAGTCACTGCCATAGATAAAAGGGACAGAGGGTGTAACACACTGACACACTCTCACTAAGAGTTGTATCTGGTTGTATTAACACTGATTTCTATTTCAGGCTATAGAACGTGGAAAGCGCTCTGTCAACTTAGTGAGTAGTGATGATGAGAAGAATATATTGTTGTCTGTTATGACTCAACTCGACCCCGATGGCTGTATTCTCAAGCTGCTGTGTAGCCTGGAGGCGAGTAGTACAGAAGGGGTTCACACCCCGAAAGAGCGCGCCCTGGTGAACACGTTCACTAACCAAAACGAGACTCTCACTCCTTACAACGCTGCCTACATCTATGCCGTGAATATCGGCCAGCACGCTCATGACGCTGCCCTCTGTGATAAGAAGTTCAACAAGTGTAGTATAAGTGTCGCTGAGTTAAGAGACCTGCTAGAATGGAGCTCGAACTGCGGCGAACAGTAACTTTTACCACAGAACTACAGAAGGTAAGCTGTAGATGACCGTAATGTTTCACTGCTGCATAGAACACTGTACTGTATACAGTTGTGTACGTACAGCATCATTATTATTCTACTATACTTGGTTTAAGTTTGTTTGTCTTGTGTATTGTTGTATAATTGTTAGCCACTGTTACGGATTTTATGTCCAAAATTGTACGATATGATTTTCGTCTTTCTCTTGTTTTCGTACTTTTTCCTTTAATGTAACCGTGTTTTCTGCCTCACTGGAGACTTCTGTGGCTCCAACGAGGTGTACCATACTTGTAATGATACTTATATTACTAAATTTGTTGATGTAACATTATATAACATTATTATGAAGATGGTAGTCATAGAAAAAAGTTAAACATATTTTATTCATACCATTATTTTCTTCCGCGTTTATGTTTATAATTATAGAAATTTATTCTTTGCTTACGTAATTTCTTGTACATTTAAAATAATGAGCTTTGAATTTTGTAATGCACCTACCTTATGTATACCAATAAACATTGAAGGTATTTCTTAGTTCAATAATAATCATTCTAAAAAGGACCTTAATGCTTTTACCACATTTATTAACTATACGTGTAAGAGTTAGAGTAGAATGGAACTACAGTATAGTCGTTTTTACCTGTACCGTATCCCATCATATCATTACAGAATGTTAGTAATGGTATTGTAAACTATATATATATATATATATATATATATATATATATATATATATATATATATATATATATATATATATATATATATATATGCGACCTCACCACTCCAGGACTCGAACCCTCGACCTAATATATATATATATATATATATATATATATATATATATATATATATATATATATATATATATATATATATATATATATATATATATATTTCATGTAAATCCACAAGATATATATATATATATATATATGTGTGTGTGTGTGTGTGTGTGAAAGTAAATCACTGTAGGTGCGTGTGATCCAAGTATATGCTGATAACCACAAGGAAACAAGAAAACAATTGTCAGTAGGAACATTATAGAATCCAGTCTCATTAAACATACCGAATCTGTCAACATGAATTTGAGTAATGGTATGTTCTTTACTAAATACTTTTGTGAATAAGAAGATTTGTAACCAGATGAAAAGGTTGGCTCATCTTACCCTATGACCTGACAGCGGACAGCTGCTGTGCTTAGAGGTGGCATGGTCGATATTTCTTTTTAATTAAGAAGATTAATTAGGGTCACTGCCTTATGACCGGAATATTGTGGACACCTGCTGTCCCTTAGGGACTTGATCTCACTCTCCTCTACTGTTTTTATTAGCCTTGTCAATTATTTCTCCTTAGTCTGTACTCACCCCTGAAGATGTGAATTACACGAAAGCACTTGGGAAGTTCGTGGTTTCTTGTTTCCCTGGGGTTATCAGCATATATATATATATATATATATATATTTCATTAGCCCAATAAAGCACACGGAATTCTACATACAATCAACACCTCAACCCACCAGGATTCGAACACACGGCACACAAGCCTATGACTGTGACCGGGTAACGCTAACCGCTGGACCACCAGGATACTAAAAGCAGTCTAGGACTGCTTTTAGTATCCTGGTGGTCCAGCGGTTAGCGTTCCCCGGTCACAGTCATAGGCTAGTGTGCCGTGGGTTCGAATCCTGGTGGGTTGAGGTGTTGATTATATATATATATATTTATATATATATATATCTTGATAAAATCACACGGGAAAATGGTAAATGGGAAAATGTCTTGAATAAAGACGAAAGCTAAGGTGCTCCGTTGTTTCCATATATATATATATATATATATATATATATATATATATATATATAATGAAAGCGGACGATACACCACTCAAGCCTAACATAATGAAGAGTTCAATATGTCCCACTGAATGTAGATTATATCAACAAACATATTCGTAAAAGTTCCGTTAAAAATATTCATAGATCAGGTGGCGACCGTGTCCTTTACCTGGAGGGAGTCTGTCTTCGTCTTTAGTAAAATTCTAAATTCGTGTATTTTATAGTACTTAACCAGATAGGCAGACCAGGATAGGAGGCGGAGTAGCAATCTATGTTAGGGATAATCTGAAGTGTGAAATAATTAAGGAAATAAAAACTGACCGGAATACAGAAACAATTTGGATAGAATTAATCGACGGTAGAGAAAAATTAATCACAGGAGTAATATATAGACCTCCCAATCTTGATAGAGTCAAAGAGCGACTTATCTGGGATGAAAGGCGCAGGGCTTCCATACACAACAAAGTCTGTATAGTAGGCGACTTTAACCTTGGCCAAATAGATTGGACTGACCTTACAGGTAACTCAGAAGCAAAAGATTTTCTCGAGACTATCCAGGACTGTTTTCTAAGTCAACATATAACTGAACCCACACGGGGTAATAATATACTCGATTTAGTTCTGTCAAACAGAGAAAACCTCATTAGCAGGGTAGAGGTAGGGAACGAATTTGCAAACAGCGATCACAAAGAAATTAGATTCCAGTTAGACTTTCAGGGCAGACGTAAGGAAAATTCCACTAAAGTACCAGATTTCAGAAGGGCGAACTTTGACAGTTTAAAGAGGCAGCTGAGAGAGGGGGTGTCGCGCTTTGCCGTGAACCTGTCAGATGACACCGACCTGATAACAAGATCTGAGATTGCCGAGTTCCACGACAATTTAAATAGTGAGTTACTTAATGCACAAAGGCAGAACATACCATACAAAAAGCTCAGATCAGACAACAATGACCCTAAATGGATTAATAATTATTTAAGGAACATCATTGGCCAAAGGAAGGCTATAGGTAGAAGGATAAATCGTGGAGAAATTCACCTCCGGGACTATTATAGGGTATTGGCGAGTAGGGTTAAAACCGAGATAAGGAAAGCAAAGAGGAATAATGAGGTAAGGATAGCAAGGGAGGCGAAGACAAACCCCAAAGGATTCTACCAAATGTATCAAACTAAAACACGAGAAACGATTGGACCAATACGGTCAGACACCAGCGAGCTCACTGATAACGACAGAGAAATGAGCAATAATTTGAATAAATATTTTTCAACAGTTTTCACCACCGAAAATTTAAACATGATACCCGAGGCACCGACTCTATTCAGAGATAGTGAAGAAAACAAATTAAGTGAGATAGTAGTGACTAGTAACGATGTTAGTAAGCAAATAGACAAACTAAAGCCTAATAAGTCACCTGGTCCCGATGAGATATTTGCCAGAGTATTGAAGGAATATAAGGAAGAGCTTAGTATGCCCTTAGCAAAGTTGTTTAACATGTCTTTAAAAACAGGTGTAGTACCAGAATCCTGGAGGATAGCGAATGTAATACCGATTTTCAAGAAGGGGGATAGATCACTATCCTCTAACTACCGCCCAATCAGTCTAACATCAATAGTAGGCAAATTACTGGAAGCAATCATCTCAAACCCTATTCGAAATCACCTGGAGAAGCACAGATTGATCAATGATTCCCAACATGGCTTCACAAGCGGACGCTCTTGCCTAACTAATCTATTAACATTCTTTTCATCAGTTTTCGAATTGGTGGACGAGGGGCACAATTATGATGTGGTATATCTCGACTTTAGCAAAGCCTTCGACAGAACCCCCCACGAAAGACTAATTAGAAAGGTAGAAGCACATGGCATCAAAGGTGACATCCTTAAATGGATTAGGGCGTGGTTACAGGACAGGAAACAGAGAGTGAGCATTAACGGCACTAAGTCCCATTGGAGCAACGTCACAAGTGGCGTTCCCCAAGGCTCAGTACTTGGACCATTATTATTTATTATATACATAAACGACATAGATATCGGCATAGACAGCAACATAAGTAAATTTGCTGATGACACTAAAATAGGACGTGTTATCAAATCTGACGAGGACTCGGCAAAACTACAGGAAGATCTAAATAAATTTTTCGAATGGTCTGAAAAATGGCAGATGAAATTCAACGTCGACAAATGTAAAGTACTCAGTATAGGAGATGTAAACAGGGAAACCAGGTACCAGATGAACAACGATGCCATAGAGAAATCCGACTGCGAGAGAGATTTAGGAGTAATGATAAGTAGGAACCTTAAGCCAAGTAAACAATGTGTTTTTGCTCGTAACAAGGCTAATAAAGTACTTGGGTTCATACAAAGGAGTGTTAGTTACAAGACTAGCGAGGTCATCCTAAAACTGTATCTTGCTCTTGTGAGACCGCACCTGGATTACGCAGTTCAGTTCTGGTCACCGTATTACAGAATGGATATAGAATCCTTGGAAAGAATTCGGAGGAGAATGACAAGACTAATCCCGGGCATTAGGAACCTTGAGTATAGAGACAGGTTAAAGCATCTTAATTTGCATTCCCTTGAGAGACGTAGAGCGAGGGGCGACCTGATAGAGGTGTATAAGTGGAAGGCAGGGCTAAACAAAGGGGACATTACAAAGGTACTCAAATTATCCAACCAGGAGCGAACTCGTAACAATGGTTTTAAATTAGACAAATTTAGATTTAGGCGTGAAATAGGTAAACACTGGTTTGGAAACAGAGTAGTGGATGAATGGAACAAGTTACCAAATATCATCATTAACTCGAATACGCTGAATAGCTTCAAACATAGGTTGGATGCTTATATGAGCAATAGGGGTTGGGTGTAAACGGGACTGCCCAGTATGGGCCAATAGGCCCACTGCAGTTTCCTCCATTCTTATGTTCTTATGTTCTTATGAAGTACAGTCTCGTTCAAGATTCTTCGAACACTGCAGGAGACAGCTGGCAGCTCAAGGCCGTTTGTTTACTATACTGTAGTACGTAGTAAAAAATTATGAATGAATGTAAAAGTGATCGTTGCTTAATTAATGGTTCGGTTTTGTTGTTTCGTATTATATTATACTTTTCTGCTGGTATATACTGTTAATTTGAGTTGCCAGCTGCCTCCAGCAGTGTTCGAAGAATCTTGAACGAGACCATGCATGAATATTACCTACTGAAAGTGAGTCCCGTGTGCCTGACGACAAGTTTATCCACCCAGTACTGTTTATTGTCTTTGAATTCCTATGCCTTACTTTATTTAATCTAGAAGTCAACGTGACATTTTATCAAACCATGAGAGACATCTATGTGTAAGTCAGCCACTGGCAAACCTTAGTGTGTGTAGTCTGTTGCCATTTATGGGAATAAATGAAAATTCATCATGCATGATTTCCTCTGTAAAACTATGTTGTGGCCAGTTGAAACTATGCTGCCACACGTTGCGTGATGGTATCCTTCAACATTTGCTCAGTTTTGCAGATATGATAGGCTGAGTGGCCTATGCTTTTCTGCTGTTTTTTCTCTATCCTTCTTGGCTGTTTTCCAACTTCTAGGCACTTTCCCTTTATCTAGGTATTTTCTGATCAATAGTCTTAGTGTAGCGTGGAGTCCATTCGTTACCTCTAGTATTACCTTTGTTTGTGCTTCATCTACACCTGAAGCTAATAATTCTT